TTTTTCCTAATACTGCTTATAAAGTAGATCATCCTTCCCCCATTGTACCTTGCTATTGTTGGTTGGTTGGTTGATCCTATATGCCACAGATCCAGAGCTCTCCGTTCAGTATGACGTCTTTGTTCTTATGCTAATATCATACCACTTTAATTGCCCTCCCTCTGTAGTATCATTTACAATCGGAAGAGGGGAATGCCTCCCATTTTGTCCAACTTCATTTCTAGCAAGGCTACAAGGGCTACAGCTTGTGAACAGAGTACAGAGCCACTCAGGGTGCAGAGGAATCAAGACACAATGGGCCGGTTCTGACCTACCAGGGTAGTAGGCAGGATTTTTTAGCTTGGGTTTCTTATGGTTACATAAGAATTTTATAATTCTTTTAACTATTTCTGTGGAGTGGGGATGCCATTGAGATTATAACAGTATATTGAATCTGTAGATTGCTTCACAGAATGTAGGCATTTTTTTTACAATATTAGACCCCCAAATCAAAGTTAGGAATAAGTTTGTATATCTGTCTCTAATTCAATTTCTTTCATTAATGTTTTATAGTTTTCATTATGCAGATCTTTCATAGCCTTGGTTGAATTTCTGACAGAATTTATTCTGTATTTTGCTATTGTAAATAGGCTTGCCTTTTTTTTAATAGGTCATTAGTAGCAATACAAATGCAAATGAGTTTTGTGTTTTTAAATTTTTATTTTTGTTTTACGTGTGTGTCTTGCCTGCATGTATATAAGTACACTAATGTCATGTAATGCATTTGGGGACAGGAGATAGTGTCAGATCTCCTGGAACTGGAGTTATAAATAGTTGTTAGCCACAATATAGGCACTGGGAACCAAACTTGGGTCCTCTGGAAGAGCAGGCAGTGTTCTCAACTACTGAGCTACCTCTCCCACCCAAGTTTTGTATTTTTATTATTTTCCCCCAATGCTTTACAGTATTTGTTCTAAGAGCTTTCACATGAATTTTTAAGATTGTCTACATATCAGATTTCAGAAATATTTAAGAGCCAGAGGTGGTGCATGACCACAAGAAACCAGTTTTCCAGGCAGCTGGGAAGTTACTCATATGAACTTACTGCAATGATAGCATCATGCATGAGACCCACACAAGATCAAGTCAGACAAAATTCCACCATAGAAGTGGGGAAGTTGGCAAGAAGCCCCAAACTTAGCTATTGGCAACTGATAATTACTGAGAGAGGGAGAGTAGCTTTTCATTAAGAGTGTGCCACTACATAGATTAACTCAACTCTACTGGATGAACCCACAGTGAAGGACACTTGAGGACACAAATTTGGCTTGATAACCCTTAATATATATGACAGTGTATCTGAAATTTGGCAGGAAGGCTATAAGAGGGTACAGATGGGGAGGGAAGTCTAAATATGATACAAGTATATTCTATTAAATTCCCAAAAATTCAATAAAAGTATTTTTTTAATTAAAAAAGGAAAACAAGAAAAATTTTTCCTGCTGGGCATGGTGCCATATGCTTTTAATCCCAGCCCTTGGGAAGCAGAGGCAGGTGGTTCTCTTAGACAATATAGAAAAGTAAATTTGGAGGTTTTCCCTTTTCTTTAATTTTTTGAAAGAACCTGAAAATTGGCTTTAGGTCTCTGCTTTTTTATTGGCAGAATTTACTCAGGAAGCCATCTGATCTTGGGAGCATACACAAATGTTGATTCAATTATCAACCTTCAGAATAATTTGTTCAGTTTTTCTATTTTCCATGTTCAGCATTGGTAGACTGTATGTTTTCAGGAATTGATTTATTACTTTTACATTACTCCATTTATTGATAAATGATTGACCACAGCAGCCTCATGATCCTCTGTATTCCTGCGGTGTCAGATACATTGCTTCCCTTATCATTTATGATTTAATTTCAAACAAACGAAATTTTTGTTTTCTTACTTAATGAAGAAAATGTCAAATTTATTTTTTTGCATAAAGAAAACTCTATTTCATCGATATCTGTGTTGTTTCTTAGTTGCTATTATTTTTGTTTATACTTTGATCTTTTTATTAGTTTGGGGATTAGTTTGCTGTTCTTTTACCAGTTACTTAAGGTTTCAGTGTTTATTTCTTCTCCTTTTTAAAATATTTTATTGATTCTTTTAAAATTTAATGCAATGTATTTTAATCATATTCAGACCCTTGTTAGGGTCTGAGACTCCATGGGCTTCCCAGGAAAACAATATGTACAAGCACGGAGATGTAATTCAAGCAAAGTCTTTATTAAGCCAGCTAGCTGGGGTCGACCGTCCTCCCAAGACACGCAGGCCTGGTTAGAGCAATCGACCCTGAAGCAACTTCAGGCAAAGTTTATATAGGATTTTCACAGCCGTTGTACCAGAGCCTGTGCATTTTCACACAACCAATAGCTTTAAAATACCTAACCTATAGATTTAAGCTAATTTATGTGTGTCACCCTCTGGGTGGTAGGTGTCAGTTTCCTGATTTCTGTAATCTCTTATTTACACAAGCGTTTCTGACTGCTTTCTGTTATCTCTCACATGCCTATGTGACTTATCACGGGTCACGCCCTGGGGCAGCAGCCCACATCCTGTTAACTATCTCCGGGCGCCCTTACGTCTCAGTCTAGCCTTGTACCAGAGCTGAGTCGCTCTTACCCAGGAAGTTATAAGCAATGAAGTAATTAAACTTAAGTACTATTAAATTCTCTCTCTCTCTTCAATCTTTGATTTCCTCTGTATTTTTCCCTTATACCCTCTTCTTCAGAACTCGCCCCCATCTGCTCACAGACCCACCCCCACCTCCTTACCCACCTCTACTTCCTGTCTTCTACTATTTTTAAGGCCTATAGAGTCTAGTCTGTGTTCCCCAAATGCCCTTGTGTGAGTCCATGCATTGGAACCTGGTCAATATACCTGGCCTCACACCCTTAAAGAAAACTGACTCTCCCTTTCCCAACAACTATCATCAGCTAGGACTGGGACTTCTTGCCCACCTGCCTGCTCCATGCAGGGCTTTTGTCTGGCTTTGGCTTTCATAGGTCTTGATCATACTGTCTTCAGTGCTATGGGTGGCACTTACCATTTTAAACTTCTTTCTCAGGAGCGCTTTTTGTCCCCTGTAAGTTTTGACGTTTTTGTAATAGATTTTCTTTGCTTTCTCTTGATTATCTTTGATCACTAGTTGTTCAGAAGAATGGTGCATAGTTTTCAGCTATCTGTACATTTTGCACTTCTTCCGATTGTATTGGACATTAGTTTTCCTCAATTTATTTTTTATTTATTTATGATTTTTTTATTTGTATTAGTGCATTGCCTGCGTGTGGGTAAGTGCACCCGTGTCATGCAATACCTATGAAGGTCACAAGAAGGCATAGGGTTCCTTGGAACTGGAGTTAGGGGCAGTTGTTATCTGCCATGTGGGTGCTGGGCATCAAACCCGGGTCCTCTGCAAGAGCAGTCAGTACTCAACCACTAAGCCATCTCTCCAGCCCTTGGTCTTCCTCAGTTTATTAAGACTTGTTTTGCCAGTAACACTTGATGTATCACGGCAAATGTTCCTTATGTTCTTGAGAAGAAAACATGTTCTGCTTCTTGTGGATCATTTTTTGTAGTGCCCACTTAATCTAAAGTATAATTCACGCCCCATGTTTCCTTGTTGATTTTTGATTGGGTGATCTGGTCTAGGTTGAAAGTAGAATATTCAGTTCAGTTGTTGGCAGGCTTTGGTGTTCCCTTGGTGATCTTGTTTTTCCCAGTTCTACAGGTTCTTCTTAAGCTTTCATAGCTATCTGTGATTTGG